TAAAAATAGTTTAACTTTTTTTTTTTTTTAGGCTGGAGTGCAGTGGCATGATCTTGGCTCACTGCAACCTCCACCTCCCAGGTTCCAACGATTCACTTGCCTCAGCCTCCCAAGTAGCTGGGATTACAGGCATGCGCTACCACACACAAGTCATTTTTGTATTTTTAGTAGAGGTAGAGATGGGGTTTCACCATGTTGGCCGAGCTGGTCTTGAACTCCTAACTTCAAGTGATCCATCCGCCTCTGCCTTCCAAAGTGCTGGGATTACAGGCGTGAGCCACCGTGCCCAGCCTAACTTGACTTCTTCAAAAAAGGAAAAAAATTGGCGACGGGGGTCTCACCCTGTTGCCCAAGTTGATCTTGAACTCCTGGCCTCAAGCGAGGCTTCCACCTTGGCCTCCCAGAGTGCTGGGATTACAGGCGTGAGCTACTGCGCCCAACACAGGTTACAGCTCAAAACTTGACTAACTTAACTTTGGTGAATCTGGAAGGTCCTCCGGGACCGAAGAGAGCCACAGCATCGCCCTCTCCCAGTCCCCAGCACGGATGAAATTCATTTGGAGGCTGCTGGCTGGACTTCTAAAAACGAGTTTTAGTTTTGAGTAAAAGGAGGAAAAAAAGCCATTGGACCTCAAATCCACCCATCTCCAGTAGCATCTTAAAATAATACCAACCCCTCAAAAATAAATAAAAAGAAATACTCTTGGCAGTGCCATGGGATTCCCACCAGAAATAAGTAGAGCAAGCCCATGAACTTTCCATTCCAAAAGGGTGGCCCTTCCCTAGGCTCCTCCCATACACAAATTCTGGAGCTATCTCTGAGGCGGCAGTGATGGAATCAGGAGCTTGCAGGTAGGTAGATCCTGTTAACGTCTCAGAGCTTCAGTCTCCTGCCAGAAAAATAATTTGAGCAATGTAATCATTACTCCACTTCTGCTATTCTGAGGGTTAAACTTGTGGGGCATTGCTCGTCAGGCCTTCAGCTCAGCACCTGCAGTGGGTTCTCAGGAAATGGAGCTGTTATAAGGACAATATTCATCTTAAGTTTATTTGTCTTAAACTATTAATGATATCCTGGTGTTGGCAGGGTGTGGTGGCTCACGCCTGTAATCTCAGCACTTTGGGAGGCCAAGGTGAGTGGATCACGAGGTCAGGAGTTCCAGACCAGCCTGGCCAATATGGTGAAACCCCATTTCTACTAAAAATACAAAAATTAGCTCGGCGTGGTAGCGGGTGCCTGTAGACCCAGCTACTCAGGAGGCTGAGGCAGAAGAATTGCTTGAACCAGGGAGGTGAAGGTTGCAGTGAGCCAAGATCGCACCACTGCACTCCAGCCTGGGCGACAAGAGCGAAACTCCATCCCAAATAATAATAATAATAATAATATCCTGGTGTAGGCTGGGTGCGGTGGCTCACGCCTGTAATCGTAGCACTTTGGGAGGCCGAGGTGGGCAGATCACCTGAGGTCAGAAGTTTGAGACCAGCCTGGCCAACATGGCAAAAACGTGTCTCTACTAAAAATACAAAATTAGCCAGGCGTGGTGGTGCAGGCCTGTAGTCCCAGCTAGTTAGGAGGCTGAGGGAGGAGAATTACCTGAACCTGGGAGGTGGAGGTTGCAGTAAGCCTAGATCTCGCCATTGCTCTCCAGCCTGGGCTACGAGAGTGAAACTCCGTCTCAATCAATCAATCAATTAATAAAATCCTGGTGTCAGATTTGCAATGCCTTCCTCTGGGCGTTGCACACAGAAGGTGCTTAAAGTGCGTTTGCTCTAAATGTCGTGAAAGCTACAGGAGGAAGGGGACGCCAAAACGTCCCATCTGCATTGAGTCCCCGGAATTTGTGTATGTGCATATTACTTGGCATCCGCTCTAGATTATTCTAGGGTCACAACTGCTACCCCTGGTCTGAGCCCCTCTCTCAGCTTCATTTTCTATGTGTGTAAGCAAAGGGGGTTGGTCCCGGACAAGTTCAGTTGCTGGAGTGTCTGCCATCCTCTGTCAGTGGGCAGCTCTGACCCCAGCGCTGCCTGCCTAAAAATCCAGTCCTATCTTATTTCCTGTCAACAGAAGAGAAAGCCCCTTCCCCACACCCATGCTCCAAGGCCTTCCCAGGGCCAGCCAACTCCCTGACCTCAAAGCCTCCGGCATCTCTGAATTCCCAAGTCTAGCACATAGTAGTTGCTTGATGAATGTTTGCAGAGCGCAAGGGCTGGAGGGCTCCTTAGAAACCATCTAGTTAATCTGGTGTTTCTCAGCCATTAAAAAAAAGTCACATACCCATGAAATACAAACAAAAATATCTCCCTCCCCCACTCAATATTCTAGCTGTCCAAGAAAGTGTGTCCCTCCATCCCTGGGAAGAAGCATTGACAGAAAACAGAACACGTCTTTGGCGATGCGTCCTCTAGTGAATCACTCTGTTATTTGAATTACAAAGTCATTTTTGCATTTCCAAATTATAAAACCATGCCACGGCAGTGAAATACTCATCTAAATGACCCCTGCCGCCCACCCCGGCTTCACAATACTGTGAGCTTCATTTCGGCCCTCTCCCAGCCAAGAGTCACAGTTAAGGCCCAGGGAGCGCTGGGAAAGAAGACATTTGTCCAGCATCGCACAGCAAAACAGCACACCATGGACTTGAAAGTGGGTCTGTTAATTTCTTTTATTTCTTTTGAGACAGAGTCTCAAATGACGTGCGTAATCAAGTAGAGCTGGAGATGTCAGCATGGCATTGGAGCTTATTATAAGTACAGATGGTTACCTATCGGAATATTTATAGATGGGGCCGGGCACAGTGGCTCACACCTGTAATCCTAGGACTTTGCAAGGCTGAGGCGGGTGGATCACAAGTTCAGGAGATCAAGACCATCCTGGCTAACACGATGAAACCCTGTCTCAACTGAAAATACGAAAAATTAACCAGGTGTGGTGGCAAGCGCCTGTAATCCCAGCTACTTGGGAGGCTGAGGCAGGAGAATCGTTTGAACCCTGGAGACAGAGGTTGCAGTGAGCCACTGCACTAAAGCCTCGTGACACAGCGAGACTCCATCTCGAAAAAAAAAAAATCTGTAGATATGTGTGTGTATAATAGTATATACAGAAATTTATTTGTTCTGTCAACTGAGACTGCCTGAAAGAAATGACATCTCAATAGCAAGGAGTACACCTAGCACTCAGACCTTGGTTTCTTTTTTTTTTCTTTTTTCCTGAAACGGAGTCTCAGTCTTATCCACCCTGGAGTGCAATGGCGTGATCTCGGCTCACTGCAACCTCCGCCTTCCGGATTCAAGCGATTCTCCTGCCTCAGCCTCCCGAGTAGCTGAAATGACAGGCGCACGCCACTATCGCCCGGCTAATTTTTGTATTTTTAGTAGAGACAGGGTTTTGCCATGTTGGCCAGGTTGGTCTGGAACGCCTGACCTCAGGTGATCTGCCCACCTCGGCTTCCCAAAGCGCTGGGATTACAGGTGTGAGCCACTGCGCCCGGCTGGATCTGTTAATTTCTAGGTCCATTGTATTCTGGCTGCCTGGTCTTGGGGTGGAAGTTCTACTTCCAGAGCCACTCAGCCCGAGCCTCTCGGATCTGGAAGGGGTAGGCCTGGCTGCCCTACTCAGAGTCCCAGTGCCCTGAGTATCTGCCGCCAGGGCATCCAGGGAACAATCGCCCCACCCTCAGCGCCTAGGCCTCAGTGCCCACTGCTCCTCAGGTGGCGGATCACAATGGCCCTGAAGCAGCCCAGAGGCAGCAGGGAGGGGCTGGGAAAGGCACCAGGCAGGGATGATGGACCCTCCCAAGGGCTAGCCTGCCTGTAGAAAGCTCTAAACTCACAGGATCTTTTCGGACCCCGTCCAGAAGCCCACCAGGGTGAGTGTGGCACTGCCCAGAAGCCAGCTCACAGCTGACAACAATCTGGGAGTGGGGTGTGGTGGCAGGAAGCAGGCTCAGAGACCCTTAGTGTCAGAGCTGGGAGAAGGACTGGGGCTCTGCCTCCCCAAGGGGGAGTCTGTTAAGAGTCTGTGTCTTGGCTGGAAGTGGGGGCTCACACCTGTGATCCCAGCACTTTGGGAGGCCAAGGCAGGAGGATCACTTGAGCCCAGGAGTTCAAGACCAGCCTGGGCAACATAAATACAAAAGATTTCTACCTCATTTCTACAAAAAATCAAAAAATTAGCTGGGCATGGTGGTGTATGCCTGTAGTCCCAGCTACTCAAGAGGCTGAGGCAGGAGGATCACTGGAGCCCAAGAATTTGAGGCTGCAGTGAGCTATGATGGCGCCACTGTACTCCAGCCGCGGCGACAGCAGGACCCCCTCTTAGCAAGACCTCATCTCTTTAACAACCACCACCAAAAGTGTTTTGGCTCCACCAGAGACCTACTGAATCAGCACGGGGGCTGGGGGTAAGTCATCTGTTCTTTCAGGCTCCCCACCCAGGGGTCTCAGAGGCACCACCAGGGCTGGGAGGCTGCTGGTCAGGTCTCTCTTCCCTCAGTCTGGTTCCAGGTTTCCTAATTCCTGGTAGAGTGCTCATGACGGTCACAGCTTCCACGATTTGAACACACACAATGCAAGCTAAGTGCTTTCTACCAGCGGCGATGCCATTTCACTGCTGCAAAGAAGCAGGTGCTGTATTAGCCCGATTCTGCAGACCAGAGCGCCCAGAGAAGGCAGGGAGAACTGATTTGGCTTGCTCTTGCCCAAAGTTACAAAGCTAGGAAGTGGCGGAGCTGGGACTAAATCCTAAATAATAATAACTTTTTTTTTTTTGAGACAGAGTCTCGCACTGTCGCCCGGGCTGGAGTGCAATGGCGTTATCTCGGCTCACTGCAACCTCCGCCTCCTGGGTTCATGGGATTCTCCTGCCTCAGCCTCCCGAGTAGCTGGGATTACAAGCGCCCACGACCGCACCAGGCTAACATTTTGTATTTTAGTTGAGACAGGGCTTCACCATGTTGGCCAGACTGGTCCCAAACTCCTGACCTCGTGATCCGCCCGCCTCGGCCTCCCAAAGTGCTGGGATTACAGGCGTGAGCCACCGCGCCCGGCCAATAATAACTTTTAAACCCTAAGAATGGCAGCTAGTCTCTGTGTAAGCTTGGCCAGCGTGCCTGGCACCGTTCCGAGCTTGCTGTTCTAAGACTGGCATGCCCTTGCTCATTTAAACGTCACAGCAACCCCCAAAGTTGTCTACCCTTGCCGTCACCATTTTTCAGGTGAGGAGGCAGAGGCTCAGGGAGCTCTAGCCCGAATTCGCTCGCTGTCCGCCGGGCCGGTGGCGTTCACCCCGAACCGCGCTGCGCTGCCCCGCCCGGGGCGCTATGGCCTGGGGCCGGACTATGCCCACCCCACCTCACCCGGCGCCCCCCACCCACGCGCGCCGAGGGTGCGGTGAGCTGAGCGCGGGGCCCAGCATGTTTCGGCGTCGCCCCCGCCCAGGGGCCCAGGAGGTGGCGCCCAAGGGGCCCCCTGGCGACGGCGACTTCCTACGCAGCCACCCGCGGCTGCCCAAGCTGACCCCGCCCCCGCTCCGAGCGGCCCAGGGCGCGCGGGGCCCCCGGGGCTCGAGGACCCCGCCGGGCGGCGCCGCCTGGTGGCCGGAAGGGGACGCCGAGCCCGGGGTGGGCGTCGGGAGCCCCCCGCCGCGCCTGCCCGCCCTGCCCACCGCGCCCCGGCGGGCGGCGGGGAAGCGGGAGCTGCTGCGGTCCCTGCTGCTGCCGCCCCTGCTCTCGGACGGCGCGTCCCGGGCATCGGCGCCCAGGCAGCCCGGGCCAGGCGAGCGCGAGTGCCCCTGGAGGGGCGTGGCCAGGGAGGACCCCAGCTTCCTGGGCGCCTTCCTAGGAGAGCTCCTCCCCAGCAGGTTCCGTGAGTTCCTGCACCAGCTCCGGGACAAGTGCGCAGACGAGGAGCCCGAGCCACTGAGTGAGGCCCCGCAGGGCCCCGGGGGCGGGCCCGGGGCATTTCCGGTAGGGGGTGGGCCCTGTGTCCCCGCACCCACCACCCCCGCCGCCCAGGCTCGGAAGGATGCTAGTGTTAGCCGGGGAGCTGGGCCCTCGCAACCTCTCCTTGAGGGCGAGTCTGCCATCAGGCCGAGGCAGGCCACGCTCAGTGGCTCCGGCTCCTCGTCGTCCTAGGAAGGACGTCCCCCAGCCGATGCTCACCCTGTTTCCTCCCGCATCTGGCTCCAGCATCCTCAGCACCGCAACATCAAAGGGGTGTGTTAGAGCACTGTCGGGGGGCTCCGCAGCGTCCCAACTGCCCATTCTTCCCAGGCCTGTGGTAAGCGGCAGTCCTTCTTAGTGGGGACGGGGTTGCATCGATGTTTCCTGGGCGGGACACCTGCCCATTTATGCCAGATGTGGCCTGTTTGTCTTTAAGGGGCCAGTCACCGCACCTCCAGGACAGTCTTACCAAGATTTTGCTCCAACAGACACCTGCTCTGGGGGCCCTGAAGGCTGATCACCCCCAATTCAGCACGGTCGGAAAAACCAGCCAGTGAGTGAGGGAAGGATAAGGGTAGGGTGGTGAGGGACGGGAGAATTTCGTTCCTCCTTTCTTTCCTCTTTCGCCCATGAATGTATCCATTTATCCACCTGTCCATCCATTCATCCATCCTTACATTCGTCTTTCCATGAATCTAGTCTTCTACCCACCGATTCAAGATTCACTCGCCAGTTCATCTATGAATAGACCCATCCATGAATGAGGTCTTCCACCAACACAGAATGCATCCATGAATCCATTAATAGATTCATTTTCCCATTCACCCATCCATCTTTTATCCATCTTGTCCATGAACCAGGCCTTCCACGACCTATTCATGGATCTCTCCATCTATCCATCCATCCTTCTATTCACCTATGCGTCTATTAGGAACCCATGACCATCCATCCATCCATTCACTCACCCACCCACCCACCCACGAATCGGATCTCCTGTGGATCCATTAATCTGCCTGGCTAACCAGCTAGCCAGCCATCCATCTAAAACTCCCACACTTCTGTCCATCCATCCACTGATCCAGTGGTCAACCATCTGCAAATCCTTCCGTCCACTTGTAAACCCAGGACACTGTTCATCTCTAATCTAGTCATTAAGCCATCCAAAACCTACATACCCCTCTGGATAATCATCCAGCCCCCTCGTCTGTCTACCCATACATCCATAGTTCAGTTCTATTCTGACCCTCTCATTAACTCACCCATCAGTGTATTCACCCATCAGCCCACCCACCTGTGTTCCATCTTTTTATCCATCCCGCCATCATTTGTCCGTTTCTCGCTCTTTTATTGGCTTTTACTATGTGTTGAATATTGGGAGAAAAATAAGGGATGGAGGTAAGAGAAGAGCTTAGGCATTGGAACCTACCTGGGCCTAGACACCATAGTTTCAACAGAGGAGGGGAAGAAGACAGAACAGTTCCTTCAGGTTAAAATTCCACCAGGCTTAAGCAGGGGTGAAGGGTGGACAGCACTGCCCATGACTTTAAAGAGCAGGGAGAGTAAATACGTCGCATACATATCATTCCTCCTCATCTCATACCCACGGCAGACAAAACTAATGGATCGCATTTCCCCACTGAGCCTCAGAACCCTTCCATCTCACACAGTACTCCAAGCAGACACCACTGATGGATCATGGTAGGAACTAGAAATGAAACACATGGCCAAGCATGGTGGCTCATGCCTGTAATCCCCGCGCTTTGGGAGGTTGAGGCAGGAGGATCGCTTGAGCCCAGGAGTTTGAGACCAGCCTGGGTGACATGGTGAAACTCTGTCTCTACAAAAATGATAAAAGTTAGCTTGGCGTGGTGGTGTATGGCTGTGGTCCAAGCGACTTGGGAGGCTGAGGTGAAAGGATTGCTGGAGCCTGGGAGGTCCAGGCTGCAGTGAGCGAGATCCTGTGACACAGCAAGATCCTGTCTCAAAGAAAAAAAAAAGTGCAACACATTTACCAACTCAAGAACTTTCAGCCAATCAGGCCAAATACGCACATGGCTTCTCACAAGATATAATAAATAACTGTACGGAATTCATTCTCTCAAATGTGAGCAAAAGCAGAGACAGAGTTACAGGCTTTCATATTCCAGAGCAAATACTTGAGCACCTTAGTGTGTGTGAGATTCCCTGGTAGGCCCTGCAGGGGACACTGAGGGGCCTTAGAACAGGCTCCAGTGGCGCTCAGTGGAGATGCTGAGATTTCGGACAGGCGGGCACAGCTGGGTTATGCCTTTGCCTGGCCCTGCAGCCAGCAGACAGCGGGGGTTCCTGAGCAGACAACTGTTGGATGACTGACTGGGTCCCAAAGCGTGTAGCCAGGCACTGTCCCGACACCTCCCGACTGCTTGGCTCTTTAGGGGCTGATGAAAAGCATTCCCTCTGCATCTACACAGACATACAGGTGCGGTCTGATGGATGGACGCAGACATAATAAATATGTGCCTACTAACGGTCAGCCATGACCTTCCTAAACAGTACAGCTATAGGTGGGTCAGGCGGACCCTCCCGCAGCCTTGCCCTTGAGGCTGAAATTAATAACAATAAATGGAACAATGTTATCTACGAAATATACATGTAACAGATGCCCTTGATTAAGGCCACGCCCTGTGCTGGGCCATGTCCTAGATGCTTCATGTAAGTTATCTGATACTCACCAAACTCAGGAGGATGGCATTATCTTGCCTATAATTTAAAGGGAAAAAAATGCAAATGGAAACTTGGGGATAGTCTGCTGAAGGTCATGTAGCTGGGATGCGCCATGATTGAGATAGACAGTTACTATAAGTACAGCTCAGCCGGGCTCGGTGGCTCACGCCTATAATCCCAGCACTTTGGGAGGCCAAGGCGGGTGGATCACCTGAGGTCAGGAGTTTGAGACCAGACCAGCCTGGCCAACATAGTGAAACCCCATGTCTACTAAAAATACAAAAATTAGTCAGATGTGTTGGCGCACACCTGTAATCCCAGCTACTCTGGAAGCTGAGGAAGGAGAATCGCTTGAACCCGGGAGGCGGAGATTGCAGTGAGCCGAGATCGTGCCATTATACTCCAACCTGGGCGACAGAGCGAGACTTAAAAAAAAAAAAAAAGGAGCAGCTCCCAGTTAGTGATGTTTACTCTGGGTCCTGCAGACCCTGGGCTGGATGCTTTTATGACCCATTTCCTTTCTTCGCAACCCTGTACAGTGGGCACAATTCCCATTTTACAGATAAGAAAACTGAGGCTCAAAAAGGTCAGGACTGAAACCCAGGACTGCATGATTCCTGGGCTGGCATTCTTCTCTCTGCTAAACTGCTTCATGTGCAAGGAGGACAGCTCTGGAGCCAGGATGCGGGTCTTGGCTCCACGCCTAGCGGCTGCATGACCTTGAAATCATCTCTGTGCCTCTGTTTCCTCAACTATAAAATGAGAATGATCACAGCATGTCGTAGGGCCGTGTGCGTTTGGTGGAATGGTGTACGTGCCTGCTTGAGCCTGCCTGGCAGGTGGGAAGTGCTCGGTCAAGGCGGGCTGCTGTGACTGGCATTATCCAGCCACAGAGGCCAGAGGAGGCCACTTGTCTAGGATCTCACAGCGAGTCCAGGGCTGGTGGATGTGTGTTGGGATGCGGCGGGGGCTCTGAGCACCGGCCCCTCTCTCCTCTCCCAGCAGGCCCTCCAGGAAAGGCTCAGGGCCCCCCAGGCCTCGCTGCCCTTTCCGGGTGCGATTTGCTGACGAGACCCTGCAGGACATTCTGCTCCGCTACTGGGAGCGCCGATGCTCAGGTAAGCAGACAGGATGGGGAGATGCCAGAGAGTTCCAGCCAGGAGGGCAGAGAGGCTGTAGATCTGGGTCCCCGGAGTGAGGGACCGGCTTGCAAAGGCCAGGAGGTCAGTGACCCTGCCGAGGAAGAGCCTGAACTGGCCTCCCCGGAGGGTGTCAGGGTGACCTTCAAGGACCAAGTAGAGGGTCCAGAGTCCAGCGGAGGTGTTGCAAGGTGGGCGGTACCTTGGACTGCTCACTGCCAAGGAGTCCCCATGGGCTATATCTGCCCCCCTTGAAACCTGTAGTCAGAGCCACCGAGCCCACCCTTGCTCCCCTCCCCAGCCCCCATAGCCTACAGGGGCTGGAGGAGGCCCAGATGCCATGAGAAGCATCTTCCCCCCACACCCATGAAGGCAGACCTCAGAAGCCTGCCTGAGGACGTGCCCAGGAAAGCCAGGAAGAGGAAACGTTCTCTGTGCTGGAGACAGTGGGCACTGCCTGGTCCAACAAAGAAGCTAAGAACCACCAGGCCTTGGGTGTAATGGTGTCCGTTTTGCCGCTCCCAGCGAGTTTAAGCAGGGGAGAAGGCTGTGTTCTCGCTCTGGCCTAACCTTGACCAAGCTCCACCTCCTTCCATGTGCCCAGCCTCTTCTCAGGGTCCAGCAGCCCCCGAGGCCTCCAACAGTCAACTTCCTCTAGCTGTTTATTGAGCACCTACTACGTGCAGTTTCAGGAAATGCCTGCCTCAAGGTCCAGCTGTGGGCGATGCCCTACAAACCTAGGACCTTCGCTGATGTGGGAGGGATCTGACCCAGCGCCCTTGGCATCACAGGAAGCTGGAGTTAGAAGCTGTGATTTTTGCACTTCTGTGTGTTTGGTGGGGAAACTAAGGCCCCAGAAGCAGAAGGGGCTTGTGTGGGTGACACAGAGCCATGTATAGAAGCCAGAGTGCCCCCAGCCCCTCTTGGGAATCCAAGGCCAGTACAAGCCTAGAAGAAACGATTTCCCGTGAATGGCAGTTGGTGCCTACGGGAGATGATTCTGTGTCGGCCACTGGCCATAAGGAGCTCTGATGGTGCCAGGGCAGCAGGGTACCCAGGAGACGTGGGGACGTGGGGCCAGCCTGCTGCTTCCCAGCCCTTTCCATCCTGGGGCAGCCACTGGGGAATTCAGGGTCCCTAGACCACCCCGCACGGCTGATATTGGGCAGGAAAAGCCCGAAGCCCTCCCTGAACCCCTCAGCGCTCTCAGCATGCTTTCTGGGATTTTTGTGATGGGGGTACGCGGTCTCCCCACTGTGGGAAAGGGGCCGAGCTTCCGGCCGCAGCACAAGTGGGGGTGCGCAGGAGGCACAGCTCGGGTATAACAGAAACAGTCACAAACAGTCACGCAGGTGGTTTTAAAACCTAAGCTTTCTCCCGAGGCAGCCAGAAGGCACTGGGGAGCTGGGGGTTGCCATGGAGACAGGGCTCTGACCGGCCTTGCCTGCCAGAGGGAGGAGAGGAGGGTGGGGGCACCAGTGCCCTCCTCCCTGGCAGAGATCTCACCCTGCCCTCTCTCCTGCAGTCACACAGAACGTCACTGTGAACCAGAAGGCCACCCGGCCAGTGGTGTCGGAGCAGGAGTTTGGGAACATTGGAAAATTGCTGGAGAGTTTGCCCGAAGCCCTGTATCCTGAGGCCAAGGAGGAGACCCTGGCCAGCTCCTCATGCTGGCACTGCGCTGGCCTGTGAGGCTCCAGGGAAGGGGACAGGTCTTGTGGACATTGCCAGGGCTCCCTGCCCCTTGCCTACGTACCTCCCCACCCAGCAGCAGGAGGGTTGCCAGTGTGGGCCCTCAAGGGCCCTGCCAGCCATGGCTGGGCCGGGGACTCAGGGTCCATGAAGCTCATGGCGTCCTGTCTCCTCCAGGCCCTCCCAGAAGACACAGGGCGACCTTTCTGAGGACACCTCCATGAACAGCAGCCTGCCCTTCTCTTCATGGAAGAAAGATGCTGCTCAGAGGCCACGAAGGGGCCTCCAAGCCTTCTTGGACCCCCACGGCCTCCTGGAGCAGGTGGGCAAACAGCCTTGCTCCTGGAACCAGAAGCTGGTGAGCCCCTGGCTGGCAGCTGGCCCTGGGCGCAGCCCTGTTTGGTGGGGTGGCCAGGGCTGGGAGTGGACCCTCCCTGTGAGCCAAGTCAGCGGGGGGCCTGTGTTCCTGCATCTCCCTCAAAGTGAAGCAGTCAAGGGGTGCCTCTAAGTCAGGTGCCTGGGTTCAGGTCACAGCTCCATAATCGAAGGCTGTGGCTTCCTTCCTTCCATTCCTTCCTTCTTTCTTCCCTCTTGTGCTCTCTCTCTCTCTCTCTTTCCATCTTTCCTTCCTTCCTTCCTTTTTTTTTTTTTTTTTTTGTGATACAGTATTGCTCTGTCACCCAGGCTGGAGTGCAGTGGCACAATCTCTGCTCCCTGCAGCCTCTGTCTCCTGGGTTCAAGTGATTCTCCTGCCTTAGCCTCCCAAGTAGCTGGGACTACAGGTGCCCACCATGCCCAGCTAATTTTTGTATTTTTAGTAGAGACTGGGTTTCACCGTGTTGGCCAGGCTGGTCTTGAACTCCTGACCTCAGGTGATCCGCCTGCCTCTGCCTCCCACAGTGCCTGGTCTTGCATTTATTTCTTCACCTTGTAAATGGGGCTGACAGCAGAACCTGTCCAACAGGTTCTGCAGCGTAGACTCCTGCTGGGCCCTGGGGGCCCAGTCCCCTGCCCTGAGGTCCTGGTGGCTGCCAGCTGGTCCTCTGTCTCACTCTAGGAGTCCTTCCTTCCCAGCCTGGTGCTGCAGTCGGTCCTGAAGCAAGGCCGCCCCGAGGAGTACCATCTCCTCTGGCCCTCCCCAACGCTGCATCGAGCTCAGAGGTGAACACCTGCTAGCCCAAGCGCAGGGCACACAGGGCCAGGCCGTGAGGATAGCCCTTCCTTGCCCCACGAATAAAGGCGCATCCCAGGTGGTGGGGACCTGCTCGTAGGTCTCATACCACAAACCTTTCTTCGTACCTGATTGCTGGTCTCTGGGGGTTCCTGGAAGGAAGGGGGTTGGAGACACAGCCTGGATGAGGCTGAGGGGTGGGGACAGGGCATCCCTGGGGTCCAGGACATGTACCAAGTGAACCCCTTTTCTGGAAAGTAAGAGACCCTGCCACAGACCTCAGACCTGGGAACATGCTGGGTGCGATGGTTCACGCCTGTAATCCCAGCTCTTTGGAAGGCTGAGGTGGGAGGATGGCTTGAGCCCAGGAGTTCAAGACCAGCCTGAGCAACATAGACCCTGTCTTTACAAAAAAAATCAAAAAACAAAAATAAGCTGGGCGTGGTGGTGCATGCCTGTAGCCCCAGGTACTTGGGAGGCTGAGGCAGGCAGATCGCCTGACCCCAGGAGGTTGAGGCTGCAGTGAGCTGTGATCACACCGCTACGCTCCAGCCTGGGCGACAGAATGAGACCTTGTCTCAAAAAACAACAAGAAACCCCAAAAACTTAGGACCAAGCCTCTGTCGACCTAAATCAGCCCACACCTGAAGTAGGCACCTGCTGGAAACTGAGCCTAGGGGTGGAGAACCACGCCCCGCCCCGTCCTCCGCCTCCAAGCCTCCATCTAACCTTCACTGTGGAGTGAGGGCGTCCAGACTCCAGCCCGGGGAAAAGCACCCGGTATTAGTCTTATGCGTTTCCCCGGCCAGGTTCACAGCCTCTGGTCCCTGGAAGGCAAAACACCTGGGTGTGCGGGGCCGGGGCCTCCCGTTCTCTCCTCGTCTGGGGATGGTGGGGTGGATGTTTGCATCAGGACGTGGCGAAAGACAAGGTGGCAGGCACTGACCCAGCACCCCAGGCCACCGCCAAGCCCCTGCCCGCCAGGTCTGCCCCCACCACACCTGCCTTCCAGCCCCCTGGACAAAGTTTGCGCCGCCGCCCCTCTCCCTGAAGCTGCCAGCGGCCCCCTGCCCCGCGCCATTGCCCGGGATCCGGGCCTTTCTCGCCACCTCCTGGCCGCTGAGGAAATAGCACGGAGTCCACACCCTGGCGTCTGGTTAGTGGCAAAGGAAGGGGCTGCAGGCGGTGGGATTGGGCTGCGCGGTGGCCGGTGGGGGGCCTTAGGGCCCGGCTGGGGTGCGGTGGGGGAGGCCTTTTGGGAGAGGCGCCCTGACTCCAGAAGAAGGGCAATAGAGCTAGGCTCAGTTTAGACGAACTCTGCGGGGACGGGACGAGGACAGCGCGGCAGCCGCGCCTCCACCGGGATTCACCGGAGTGGGATTCAGTCCCCGGGACGCCCCCTCCCCTCCGTCTCCCTTTCTGGACTTTCACGCCCCGTCCCCTGACCCAGGCTTTCTACTTCCCCGAGAGCCTGCGGGTCTCATCAGGCCTGATTATACCGCCCCTCCTCGGGGTGGCCTTGCGCAGCCCACCTCAACCTCTCTGAGCCTCAGTTTCCCCCAAGGACGGCGGCGGCGGGCCCCGGCCCCTCCGCCGGCTGCAGAGCCGCGCCGCGCCCACGCGGGGGCAGTGTTGGCCTGGCTTTGGCGCCGCCTGGCGCGGCCGAAACTTCTCAGCCGAGTCTCGCTCCAGGGTCGGAAACTTTTCCCTCGCGCGGCGCCCGCACCCACTCGCTTCCGCCTCCGCGCTGCGGGCCCCGGGCAGCCCCGCTGCGGCCGCGCGACCTCCCGGCACCTGCCCCGAGCCCGCGGCCGGCCCCGGCGGGTTGGGGGAAACGCGCCCCCCCGCCCCCCAACTTCCCTCTCTCTCGCTTTTGTTGTTCAGCCCAAAACGGTTAGGCTTGCCGCCCTGCGGCAGCGCGGAGCACTGGAGCCGGAGTCCGCGTGGAGCGCCCTGGGCGGGTCTCGGCGACCCCGAGGCCCCCGACTCCTCCCCCGCGCCGGGGTCACCACAAGGGAGGAGGGCGCTGGCTGGGGCCTGCGGGGAGACCTGGACCCCCTCCCGCTCACCCCCACCCTTCCCCTCCCCCTCTCCCCCGCGGCTGGGCCCGCAGCGCTCCGGTTCGCCCGCCGCCCCCCCCCTCCCGCTCCCTCCCCGCAAACCACCGGCAGCAGGCGGGAGGCCGAGTCCAGAGGACCCGAGACTCAGTCCCGCAGCTCCTGGCACTCACGCCCCCCACCGAGATGGGCACCCGGAGACACACACAGGCACGCTACAGGGCCACGGCCACACGGTACACAGACACAACACCCCCACGGACACACACAGCACACACATCCACGGACTCCTGCCTCGCAGACAGCCCGTGCACACAGGTGGACCTCGCGCAGACACAGCAGCCCCCACATTCGGGGTCACCTGCTGCCCTGAAGGCCCAGACGCTTCCCCCTGGCCCTCTGTAGCCACCTGTCTGTCCACCAACATGTCCTCCACCATGAACTTGGGGTCACCAAGAAGGATGAGGAGGAGGAGAGGGAGCCAGGCATTCAGGGATGACCCCTGCTGTTCCCCAGGGGCCGTCGCGGGCCATCTCTCACCCTTCTTGACAGTGACCCAGGACTGGGGGCCTCCCCAGGGGCCCCAACAGGGCCCTTTTCCCTGGGGCATTTCCACTCAGGGCTGGGGGTGGGGGTGTCGTGATGGGGGGGTTATGGTGGGGGTTCGCGGTGGGGGGGTTATGGTGGGGTGGTCGTAGTGGGGTGTTATTGTGGGGGGTTCGTGGTGAGGGGATTATGGTGGGTGTTGTGGTGAGGGATCATGGGGTGGTCGTGGTGGGGGTCGTGCTGCGGGGTCATGGTTTGGGAGTTGTGATGGGGGTGGTGGGGGGTCGTGGTGGGGGGTGCTGCCCTTCCTGGGCTTCAGGAAGCAGCATGGCGGGGAGGCCAGGAAAGCTCTGCTCACCACAACTCGACCCACCTGAGCCCGCTGGGATCAAGGCAGGTGCACCCCCCACCCCTGCCCACCTCTGTGCTGTGAAGTCCTGTCTGCCCTCCCCACGATGAGCAACCCCAGCCCTCCCCAGCCCACCCTGACCTCTGCCATTGGCCATGGGCAGTCCGGTGCCCAGCCAGGGCAGGGTAGCGTGGGAGCCAGGTCTGGCTCCTTAGCCCCGTTTGCTGATAAGGACACTGAAACCCCGCGGGCTCAGGGGGGTCTCACCTGGGGGTGCTGGCGGTGCCGACTGGAGCTGGAACCCCTGCCCCAGCAGAGCCGTCCACCGCATACACGGGAGTTCCCTCCTAAGCCACTCTCAGTACAGCCTTCGGTCTTGGGGAAGACAAGGCCCAGAGAGGCTCAGCTCTTTCTCAAGGTCACACAGTGCGCAGGTGTTGCAGTCGGGAGACACACTCAGCACCTCTTCACGGGGAAGCCCTGTCTCCCACTGAATGCCGTCCTGTGGGGGCTCCTCGGAGGCAGGGGGATCAGGGCAAGGTTAAGGAAGGAGCGGCGTTTATTTGGAGAGGGTGGAACTGGGCAGGGGCACAGGGCCTGCTGGAGCCGGAAGCCTCAAGGCTGTTGGCAGGACCCACAACCGACCGGAGTGGGGAGGAGGGCGCTGGCTCCAAGCAGGAGCCTGGTGGGAAGGAGAGGAGGGAGCCTGGAGCCAGGGAGCCCTGCAGATGCAGCTGATGATTGCCATTCTGCAGGCAGCTCTTTCAGCGCTGTTACAGACTGAACGTGTCCCCCCAAAATCCATATGCTGGAACCCCAGGCCTGATGTGATGGTATGAGGAGGTGGGGCCATTGAGATGGTTGAGAGGTGATCAGGTCATTAGGGTGGAGCCCTCACAAATGGGATTCGTGCCTTTAGAAAAGAGGCCCCAGGCCAGGCGAGGTGGCTCTCACCTGTAATCCCAGCACTTTGAGAGGCCGAGGTGTGGTCAGGAGTTCGAGACCAGCCTGGCCAACGTGTCGAAACCCCGTCTCTACTAAAAATACAAAAATTAGCCGGTCGTGGTGACAAGCGCCTGTAATCCCAGCTACTGGGGAGGTTGAAGCAGGAGAATCACTTGAACCCAGGATGTGGAGGCTGCAGTGAGCTGAGATCGTGCCACTGCACTCCAGCCTGGGTGACAGGGCAAGACTTTGTCTCAAAAAAAAAAAAAAAAAAAAGAAAAAAGAAAAAGACAAGGCAAGAAAAAGAGGCCCCAGAGAGGCCTTGCCTCTTCCTCCATGTGCAATACAGCAAGAGGCCAGCAGTGTGCACCCCAGACGGGAGCCCTCACCGGAACCCCACCGTGCCAGCGCCCTGATCTTGGACTGCCAGTCTGCAGCCTGGGAGGAATACACTCTGTTGCTTTGAAGCCGACCAGGATCCGGTCATCTGTTAAGCAGCCCAAGTACCAGACTCAGCCAAGTACCACACCTGTGCTGGGCCCTGAGTGGGCGCCTGCGTGGGCTGCCCCGGCCCCAGGAGCCTCGGGTCCTTGGAAATGTTACTCGAATTGGCAATTCCAGGACACAGTGACAAGTGCTGGGAGGGTGGCCTTGGGAGCACAGAGGGGGGACTCAATCCCCTGTGCAGGGCACGGGGTGGACACTGGGCGTTCTGATGGCAGCCAGGTGGGGGCGTGGTCAGAACTGACCAAAGGAACGCAGGGAAACTGACCAGAGGTCTCACAGGAAGGCTGGTGTTGCACTTCTCCCCGTGGCCTGAGGAGGAAAGAGGCAGGGGAGTAGGCAGAGGGAAAGGCTGGTGTTCCCCTGGCCAAGACACAATACACACACGCACACATACACACGAACACACTCCCCAACCTCCCAGCCGTGTGGAGCTGCCCAGCACTCATTCCAGCTGCTCATCCAGCCCCACCACCTGCCCTCCCTCTCCCATCATTTCTGCCTCTCTGGGTCCTTCTGTCTTCCCTCCCAAATACACCCTAAGTGACACATGGTCTGACCTTCCTGTTGGAGGCAGTGAAACCCCTCCATGGAGACATGTGTGCCACCACCTCCGGGCAGCCCCACAAGCCTCAACATTCCCCTGTGAACAGCACCAAGAAGGGGACGCTCACTGCTGTTTGGAGCCATCGGAGCCGGCCTTGGATGCTGGACGGTGTCTGGGCCGGAAGCAGGGATTGGACTCGGCGGGCCAGGCCAGGTGTCTCTAGGGCTCTGGAATTTTCCCAACAGTGAGACTCGGACCCCAAGCATGGCAGCCTGGAGCAGCTTCTCTGGCTCTCCATCCTGGAGCCTGGGGATCCTTAACGACTCACCCACCACGGTTTCCCTGGCTTATTTACTGCACCTGTCAGCTGAGGGGGCTTCAGCAATGCCCCCAAACTCCCAGGGAGCCCCTGCCCGGCTCTGGGCAGACTTCTAACTCCCATGCCTACAGAGCCCAGCAAACCCCAAAAG